AACAATCAGCCCCAAGACACAACTAACTCACAGCAAAGACATTTATTAAAATGGAATAGCATGAAAAATTAATTCATAACATTTCCCCCATACATCTAGTTTGCACTGTCCCATGGCTTCACATAGCATCAGTTAGGAGGACTGGACACACTCATGTGACCCAGGTAACTCTGGCACTGCAGAGAACCAATGTACTTTCTTTTCTTATGTTACCCTTACTCTATTCCTTCTAGGGACAGTGTCTCTGCCAGGCTGGTCACTCAGCCATTCTCCCTGGGTCTTTTCCTGTCCACATCTTAACCACTAACAGCCAAGGCTAGCTCCCTCTGAACTCACAAAGTGCCCCTTGGCTTGTACCTTCGTTTGCTGGGTGTCTCCTATTGGTGAATAGTTCTATTTCAAGGTACCCTGTTTAGTGGTAGGATGAGGGAGAGGAAGAGAAATCCCTTCCTCCCACCCCCACAGAATCTGGGAAAATTGCCCAGCCCCCTCAAGGTCTAGGTTCTTTTTCCATAGCATGCCCTCTTCTCTGTTGCCAGAGGTCACACTCTGCAGAGTTGTCTGCCTGGATTGACTTCTCAGAGAGTGTATCTTGCTTTTCAAGTGAGTCACAAGGGTTAGGCTGACCTTCTGGCCAGTAAATGGCTAGCTATCCTCTAATTCCATAAAGACAGAAGAAATCCTTTACATCTTTTAACTAACTATAGTTAACTAACTGCCAGATACATCTTCATATTTCCTTTTAAGATCTTAGCACCTCATTTGTTTCTTTTACCTGCACCTAAACCACCTGAAATTTCCTCAACTGGTCTGGGGAAAACTCAGTTAATCAGAGTTGTTTGGTTTTTTTTTTTAAACCTCTCTTAGCATAATAAGGTGATATGGTTGCCATATACATCTATGGAAGGAATCCCCAGACCAATCAAATTGGGGCTGGAAGAAAGTTCTACGCTGGGTCTGAGGAAGGAAAGACAAAACTTAAAGAAATAAAAATTTGGAACTCAAAATCTTATAGAAGTGAATGTTGAAAACTATCTTTACATACAATTGGAAAAAAAAATACTAAGTGGGGAAAAAACTAAAGAAATAAATAAGAAAAAATCTATCACACCATGTTAAAACTGACAGCCACTTTGAAAGTCAGGTTTGGAAGTTCTGGGAAATGATTCCCAATCATGTTATCATGGCACCCAGCTAGAATTGGCAGCAAGTCTATTTTCCTTAACATAGATGTACAAATTTATGTTAAGATTCTGCTATGGGTACAGCAATGAACTCAGCGTCAAGGAAAATACAAAGGTGAATAAAACAAGATCATCAGGTAGCTTAAAACTAACCAGAGGAGCCTAAAAATAAAAGGAAGTGGGATAAAAGAAAAAAATTTGAAGAGCACTATTTATATATTACAAGTGATCTCTCTTAATTGCCAGTCTTTTTTCAGTCTCTCTTCTTCTTGACTTCTCTACAGCATTTGACACTGTTGACCACCCTTTCACCCTAGATACTCTCTCTCCTTTCTTGGTTTTCATCACACACTTTCCTCTCTTGGTTATTCTTCCATCCATCTGACCACCTTTTAGTCTCCTTTGTCCATTACCTATGTCCAACCACCTAACTGGATGTACCACAGGCTCTATCTTGGACCCTGTTTTCACTCTATGATATTTTACTTGGTGATATCATTAGCTCCTATGGTTTTGATTACCATCTCTATAAGGATAACTTCTGAATCTACATTTCTATCCCTTGTCTCTCTCCTGAGAGTTTCATATCTTTAATTGCCTGCTGAATGTTTCAGATTGGATTCCTGTAAACATCTCAAATTCAGCATTCCCTAAACTGAATTCATATCCTCCCCCCAAAATCAACCTCTCTTTTGGATATCTCTTTTTTCTATTGAGGGTACCTTTCTATTGAGGGTATCCTTCTACTTATCTAGGTTCATAACTTTGGTGTTACATTGTGGTATGTGAATGTAACATAATACTATTTATTGTTCCATAAGAAATGATGAGCAGGCAGATTTCAGAAAAATCTGGAATGACTTACACAAACTGATCCTGAGTGAAGTGAACAGAACCAGGAGAACATTGTATACAGTAACAGCAACATTGTGTGATGACCAACTTTGATAGACTTAGCTCTTCTCAGCAATGCAATGATCTAAGACAATTCCAAAAAACTCATCATGGAAAATGATATGCACATCCAGAGAAAGAACTATAGAGTCTGAATGCAGATCAAAACATACTATTTTCTCTTTTTTCCTTTCTCATGGTTTTTCTTTTTTGTTCTGATTCTTCTTTCACAACATGACTAATGTGGAAATATGTTTAATATGATTATACATGTATAGCCTATATCAGATTGCATGCTGTCTTGGGGAGGAAGGAGGAAAGGATAGAGAAAAAATTTAGAACTCACAATCTTATAAAAGTGAATGTTGGGGCAGCTATGTGGCAGAGTGGATAGAGAGCACTGGCCTTAGAGTCAGGAGGACCTGAGTTCAAATCTGGCCTCAGATACTTGACACTTACTAACTTTGTGACTCTGGGTAAATCACTTAACCCTGATTGTCCCAACAAAAAGCAAAAATAAAAAATAAAAATAAAGTGAATATAGCAAACAAAATAAATAAATTCATAAACAGGAAAAAAAACCCAACCCCCCCCCCATAATTTTGGTGTTATCCTGGACTCCTCACTCTCACTCATCCCACATACATCAGTTGCTGAATCAAGTTGTTTCTATTTGATAACATCTCTGGTATATGTTTCCTTCTCTCCATTTACATAGCCACCTCCCTAGTTCAGGCCTTTATCACCTCTCACCTGAACTATTGCCCTTATATCAAATCTCTCCCCTCTTCAATCTTTTTTTCTGCTCATGTTGCTGACCAAGTTAATGCCCTGATCAATAAACTCTGTTGGATTCCTATAAGCTCCTGCTATTGTTGTTCAGTTGTTTTTCAGTTGTGTCTGACTCTTCATGACCCCATTTGGGGTTTTCTTGGCAGAGATGCTAGATTGGTTTGCCATTTCCTTCTCCAGCTCATTTTACAGATGGGAAAACTGAGGCAAACAGGGTTAAGTGGCTTGCCCAAGGTCATATGGCTAGTAAGTGTCTGAGGCCAGATTTGAACTCAGAAAGTTGAGTCTTCCTGACTCCAGGCCCAGCATTCTATGCACTTCAATACCTAGCTGCCCAAACTTCCTAAAGAAGTTTAAGTACAAAAGAAATCATTGATAAGGTAAATTAAAATGGCTCTAATCAGCTAAAATGTGAGTTGAAAGGAAGGGAGGTTTCATGTTACTTATTTAAGAAATAAAATGAAATTATGTCCTCCTGAAAGAAATGGTAAGACTCAGAGGAACAAATATCAGGCAGATATTAAATGGGCCTTGTGTTCTAGTTCTAGTCTTGTATTGCCACTGCCTCCTTCTTAATTCTAGGTTAACTTCATTTTCTACACCTTCATTTCATTCTCTGTAAAATGTGGGTGATCACTGTAGCAGTATTTTGTCAAATAAGTAATAGAAGTGTTCCAATGTTCTTTTGCAGATGTTGAATATAATATAAAACCCATTGATTTCAAGGGAAGAAGTTCTTCACTTCATTTTTATGCTTGAATTTTATGACATGATTATAATTGGTCATGTGTTGGTTCTAAACTGTATGTAATTAAAGAGGAAGGATAAATGTATTTATCAAGTGCCTACTTTGTGCCAAGTGTTTTGCAAATATTACCTCGCTTAATCATCCCAACAACTCTGAGAAATGGGTACTATTATGATCTCCACTTTATAGGTGAGGAAACTGAGATAAAGTTTAAGTGACTGGAACGGAGACATACAGCTAATAAGTGTGGTGTTCAGGGAGGACTAGCACCTCTGGTGTAAGGGCTTGCGGAGTCCTTTTCAGGGCTGCTTATCCACCTTTGGTGTCCACCTGCAACCCAATTCTCACCTGTAGCTGTAGCATGTACAATGGCCACACCCAGGTAAAACTGCATCCTGGACCAAATCCATAATCATTTGGACTTTTGTGCTGCCACTGTACTTTGATGACTCTGGAAGAGAGAGTGAGGCTAATGACTTTCTACAACTCTGCCTCACTTAAATCCAATTCACACAGAAATCAAGCCATCACCCTTGATGTCTGTCATTGGTCCTCTTCAAAAAGGAAGGGCCAACAAATTTCTGAGGCGGGATTTGAGCTCAGGTCTTCCTGACCCCAGGCCCAGCATTCAATCCACTGTGCTATGCAGCTGCCTCTGAGGTGAACAAAATATCGATAGGGCAGCTAGATGACCAAGTGGATAGAGCACCGACCCTGGAGTCAAGAGGATCCAGATCAGAAGATCCAGCTTCAGACAGTAGCTGTGTGACCCGTGGGCAAGTCACTTAACCCCGATTGACTCCAAATAAGGAAAGAAAAAAAGATATTGATCACTTTTGCTCCCAATTCAGAAATAATACTTCCCTATTCTGGCACCCCTTTACAGTATTCAGATCATAGAATCTCAGGCCTAGATGGGACCTCAGAGGTTACTCAATCCAATAAACACCTGTTCTTCTATCAGATTATGCCTGACTTGAGAAGGTGGGAGTATATGCTCCTTGTTGATAAATTTCATTGGCTTTCTCCCTCTCTTGCCGTCTCTTTTTTTTATGTCTTAGATTAAAACTAGCCAATTTCGGAATTCTTACCTTATAAGATGTCTTCTCCGCTTGTGGCTGCCCATGAGTGCCTAGGGGGAAAGGTAACCCATAGGCAAACCTCCCAAGTTTTAGTCTTCTTGTCTCTCTCCTTTCCCTCTATCACGCGCCCCCTCCGCCACCCCGCTTCTGCCCCGAGTCCGGGGAGAGAGCAGGGGAAAGAATCCTCCTCCAAATTGGGGAAATCCACCTCGTGTTTTGTTTCTTGCTTCATAGAGCTGAGTCCAGCGAGAGCAGAGCTGGAGCTTCACTCCCAGAGGTCTGTCCAGGGGAGATACTGTTCCTTCAAAGGGCTGACCTTTCGGGGAGAAGCAGCAACCGCAACCCATTCAGCTCCCCTCTTGAGTTGTGAGCACAAACCTTTGCCCCCTCGCCCCTTTTAGCCCCTGTTCAGTCTGCCTAGGACTCCCTATTCTGCCTCAAGTCATGCAACTCTGCTTGCCTTTCCACTGTGGATAGTACAGCCATCAACCTTGGGGTCTCCCTCCCTTGCAAGAGCCAGATTGACTATGCTTGGAGCCTGGTACGTATTGGTGCAAGGGCTTTGCGGGACCCTCTTGGGGTTGGAGGTGCCGAATCTGAGTCCTCTGCAGGACAGACAAAACTATCCCCCAGGGTTCGCTTGGGAGATTGGTACAGTACTTTCTCTCTGAACTTAGAGAGTTTCAAAGTTTGTACTGGAGGCTTGTGCTGAGTAGAGAGCTGGAGGTCACTCACTGCCCCAGAGTGTTTAACCGGATACGTTTAACTACTGCCCCGGGAGGGGGAGTGGGGTGAGGGTGGATTTGAAATAGCGCTTTACCCCAAACCTAGGCTCGGGCTCTGACGTGGAGTTTTTCAGGGCAACGCGGCCAGGACCGGGGTGGGGGTGGGGTGGGAGACCCGAAAACTGGGGAGTGGTGAAGGTGGGGAATTCCTAACTCTGGGACTGGACTTGTGTTGGCTAAAGCTGTTTGGGGAGTTTTGGGAAAACTATGGGAGGAGCAGAAGGCGCCCTTGAGTCAAGGCCAGGCGGGGTTATTCCCCCGGGAGTCGTTCTCTTCCCACCCCCCAAACCCCCCCCCCCCGCAGTCCTTTGACTCGGAGCGCTGGGGAAGCCAATGGGAAGGTGTGAGGTGTACTCCGAATTCTTCTCTCTCTCACTCTCTCTCTCTCTCCATCCCTCCCTCTCTCCCTCTCTCCCTCCATCCCTTTCTTCCTCCTTCCCTCTTCCACTACCCCCTATCTCTTTCTACTTTTCCCCTTTTTCTTTCTCTATTTCTCTCTCTCTTTCTTTGGTAAACAATGCCTTCTCTCCGAGAGAACTCACTACTTTCTTGGCCTTGGTCCCCAGCCTCGCTGGCTGCTCTATGCTTGCCACGGGAACTCAGCGCTGGGGGTGTAGGGAGCCCCAGGGAGGACCATTTTCCTTCTTCCCAACTCCTGCCCCTTCTCCACTGGAATGGGAAGAAAGAGGGAGTGGCTACCCCCTCCCCCATACCTTTCAAAATTTGCAAGACCTCTGGATCTGGGGGTGCAGGGTGCCTCCTCAACCTGCAGGAGTTCCCTGTTGCACTTAAAGGACGTTGGAGGTTTAGGATGCTAGAGCGCTCAGGAGGGCCAAGAGGTTGTTCTAGGAGTTGGTGAGCGAAAAGGGCCCTGGTGGTATTGTGACCAGGAGGCGCCCCGCTACCTTTAAAAGGGCCCCCAGAGCACATGTTTCACCTTTCTTTCCCCACCCCGACCCCTGCGCCCCCATGTTCTCCTTGGAGAAACGCTTGTTTGTTGATCAAGCCACTCCTGATCCAGAGGGGTGGGGGACTTCAGAAGCGAAGGAGTTTGCTGGGCCAGTGGGGGCGTCTTGCAGTGATGTTAAGGGAGAGCAGGCGTTGGTTTAGTTCAGGCTTTTTTAGATAGAAAGGAAGTTGACCTTAGCACATATGAGGTATGACTAACCTTATGTCAGAATGATGATTTTTAAAACTATGCCTTGCCCAGGACCTGGGTTCACAGCACGCGTTGGGCAGCTCCTTCACGCTGTGTAGGATCTGCCCAACTTCTATCGGATCCCTAGGCTTTGAAGAGATCTCCCTGGACAAGTAGGTTCAAGGGAAAGGGTGGGTTCTAGGTTATTGGGACGTGATCTCAGTCGTGTTGCACGTGAGACTGGGAAAGGCATAAGGGCAGAGTGAAGGAATTAGTCTTAATGTCATTCAAAACTGGTAATGTGGAAGGTTGGTTGTAGGTGATTTAGTTTCGGGTTCCCCGCCCCCCTTGGGATAATTTAGGTTTTCCCTGGATGATGTAAGCAATACAACTACATAGTTAGGATTGTGACAAATGGTATTTGCCAGGATGGCAGGTAGTACTAATCTTTCCAAGTGAAAGAGGAAACCAAAGTAGGGAATATATCGAAGTTTCAGCAAAAATTAAACTCAGTGTAAATAAAGCTTAAAGTTAAGCGTCTCTAAGAGAAGTAGCTTAAGAATGACCCAGGGACGGGTTTTCTCTCTCTCTCTCTCTCTCTCTCTCTCTCTCTCTCTCTCTCTCTCTTCATCTCTCGCTCTCTCTTTCCCCACCCTCATTTTCTCCATCTGGGGCAGTAATGTGAACTTTGGGAATGAGTGCTTGAGGTTTTTCAGGCCAGGGGATCAAGGCAATACAAAATATCTCTGTTGCTACTGCAAGCCTTGCGTTTTGTATTAGTATTACAGTGTACAGCTTAGAGCTTAGGACCTTGGGAGGGGGTGGGGGGGGGGACGTGGAGCGGCACATAGCATGCTGAGCCTGGGGGACTTTGAGAAGGCAGCTGTTTTTGTTCTCTCGTGGTCACTGTGACCAGATAAGTAACCTCATCAATGTGTTGTTCCTTCTTTTACCATCGATTTTTCCTTCAATTCTCCCTCCTCACACTCATCCCCCTCCCCCAAATATTGGCTACATTAGGGACGCAGGATAATAGAAATGAAATTGATGGGGCATCTTAAATAATTCCTTAGATTTGGGGCAAGTATATTTTAAAGCATATGGATGATTTTTGACCAGTTTTCAGAGGGCAAACACATATAGTAATAATAGCTAGTATTTTTTATAGACCTTTTAAGGTTTACAAAGCTTTATGTGTGTTATATCTCATGTGATCCTCACAACAGGTGCTATTATTATTTTCATTTTACAGATAAGGAAATTGAGGCTGAGAGGATAAGTGACCTCTAGGGCCATAGTGTCTGAGGTAAAATTAGAACCCAACTCTTCCTGACTCCAAGTCTAGCATTCTATCCACTGCTATCTACACAAATAAGATAATATTTGAAGATTGGGTTGTGTTTTCTCTGTCAGTAGTGAAGAATGAAGGGGAACATTTAAAAAAATGGGTCAAACGTAATGGTAATGTGACTTTATAATGCTAGATAATTTTATCACTGCCAAGTATATAGGCTATTAAGAAAAAGCAAGCAAAACTAAGCGTGTATTTGTAAAATCCTTCTGTCCTCAAAACTATTTGATTTTAGTCAAAACTTTTGAATTCAGGCAAAAATCATACAAGCAGTGATCCTGGCTTCAATTGTTCTCCCTAGGTGACAATTTAACATTTTTTCCTGAGAATTAACTACAGCATTTAGCATTAGTGTAGGGCACCTTTAGGACCCCTCCCGGAATTACCACTATTCTTTGCCCTTTGTTTCTCTTCCTTCCTCAACCTTCTTTATTTGTCTCTCCCCTCCCCCAGCCTCCAGAGTCAGTATATCTCTTTCCTGCATGCCTTTTTTCTTTCTCTTTCTACCTTTACTCTTTCTGATTTTTGGTGCTGATTACTCTTGGATTTTTTTTGGTCTGTCTTCTGTTCTTTCCCCCCTCTTCCCTTCCAATTGTTTGTCTTTGTCCTTGAGACTTTTGTGCCTTTTTGAGTATCTTCTCCCTCAATTTCCCTGCCCTTCCATGCCTTGGGTTTTTTTTTAAATCATTCTTGCCCCATTTTGGCTTCTCTCTTTCCCCTGTGCCACACCCCCCCAACCCCTTCTCATTTTCTATGCCTTTATTTCTCCCTTTTTGGCCTTTCTTTGCTCTCTGCAGGGCAGCCTTGGAGTTTTACATATGGAAGGGGCCTCTGATTAAATCTTGCAGTACTCTAGTCAGTTTCACTGAAGAGTCTTTCCATGTGTTCAGGGCTCTTTCACTTCCTGCAGTCACAAACTATCGAGGAATAGTCATTTTGTGCACTGCCTCTCCAGCTTTAGACACGGTAGAGCTGTAGGAGGGACTATGAATAGGGTGCTTCTTTACTTGAAGGTCCTTTTCAAGTCAGTTTCTCTCTGTCAAGTGCAGTAGCTTTTACCCACTGAGGGACTAAATGGGGAAACCATGAAATCTTGGTCAGTTTCCTTTTTCAGCTGGGTTGCACAAAATGCTATTTGCACTTTTTGGCTGCTGCTGGCAGCAGGCAGGATTGCAGGCTAATTTGAAATTGACCTGCGGAATGGCTGGTTACATCAGTTCAGCCACATCCTGCTCAGGGGATTTGGGGTGTCATGGAGGATGGAGATGTAGGTTGGGAGGGGGAAGGGAGATGGAGGTGGAGAGAAAAAGAATACACATTTGACTCTTGTTCTGGCACAGGCCTGTTGAAGTAGCTATTTCAATCCAAATTTAAAATTGACACAGTCTTAGAAAGTCACTCTTTAGTTTTCCTGTCAGGTGGTCTATTGCAGTAATTCTGAAGAATAAAGCATCTAAAGGAATCTCTATTATCAATAAAGTGAGATAATAGAGAAAAATATTATATTTTGATCCTATTTGCTGAGACTTGGCTTTAACAGTTTTGACCCCTTTGAAATGTGTCTAAATTCTTTGTTTTGAAATCTTAGAGTCCAAGTGTGAATCTAGCTCTTTCTGGCCTCTGTTTCTCATTTTCTGTTTTTTAATCTCCTTTCCCTCTCCCATAAATCCTCACTGTTTCCTCTAGACTTGGGAAGATACATTAGAGCAGAATAAAATTGACTTATGTATTTTGAAATGTGGAATTACAGTTATAATCAGAAGACATAGACAACTTGGCATTATGGATAAGAGAGCCAGCCAGGAACCCCTGAGGATCTGGGTTCAAATTTCATCTCTGATATTTAACTGCCTGTTTGACATTGAGCAAATTCCTTAACTCCCTAGTGTTCTAGTTGACTCTCTAAGATCATAGTTGCAGAAAAGGTGCTGTCCTGAATTGAGAGAGTTTTCTTTCCTGTGAGTTACTATGCCATTGAAATCATAGGTCCTTTTCCTATTCCTGTAATTAGTCATGGAAAATGAAAATGTGATTTTTAGTGATGAGTCCACAAGACAAATATGAATTTAATCAATAGAAGTTGAAAAAAATTATGATATCATTAAAATAATTTCACATTTCAAAGAATGCTTCATCAGATGTAAGCATATATTAAATGGGCTACTTGTTCATCTGATACTAGTTTATTTCAAGAAAAACATTCTAGGGCTTGTTCAGGAGGATTCAATTCTCTGGACAACTTACTTAATCACACAGAAAAAAAGGAGACATTTCATCAGTGGTTCCAAGAGTGGCAAAATTAGGTTCTTGCAGTAGGATGTGGGTTTTTTGTGTGTGTGTGTGTGTTTTTTTATTCCTTGGCTGGGTGGTACCCAATGGTCTGTCCCCTGCAGTTGGTTTTTTCAGGGGTCATTGCCCTCTTTCATGAGCTCATAGAAAGGTTGTTACCATTTAAAGAGGCCATATCTTCCTATTCCATACTCTTCATGCTTTTTTTTCTTTGGAAAGTGTCTTTTTGGAGATGAGGTTTGAACAGTAAACATAACCTTAATTATAACTCCTAATTTCTAAAGTGCTTTGGTTTTTAAAACCAAAAAAGGAATGAAGAAGAAGTTGTTCATTTTATAGGCTGGTTTTTAAATTAGACTCTAAATGACATCTGCATATTTTAGTTTGTTGAACATAAAAATTTTCATTTCAAAGATAATTGGACTATCTAAATCATATACTTCCTAAAGATATAAGTAACTTTATAGAAAAGAAAAGGTGTATTTATAAAAATATTGCTGAATTTCCTGGGCTTGGAAATAAATTTTCCATTGCTCTAGTAATGCTAGTATAAAAAGCTGTGTTAATGGTCTTTGGAGGAAGTGGTATACATCTATTCTCAGCCAAAGAGTTACTGCTAGCCAACTCTTAAAAAAAAAAAAATTAAAGAAAAGAAAATGAGAGTTAAAGTTTAAGTCTTCTGCCAAGAATTCATTTGAAGTCTTCTCATATTCAGTAGAATTTATTGAAATATTTTACTTTTTGTAGGTAATGTTATCACTCTCTATTTGGCAAGTTACAAAATATGTAATACTTAGAATTTAAATGTTGTGTTCTGGCATTTCCTATTTACCTTGGTGATTAAAGGTATTAAATTAGAACTGAATTGAAGGGAGCCATATCTCTGCTTTGAATGATATCCCTGAGCTCTAAATTGATAATTGTTTTTTCCTTTTCAAATTACTTTGCAGTTACTTAAGCATGTACAGGTTTCTCACACACACACACACACACACACACACACACACACACACACACCAATGGAATGTAAGTTTCTTGAGGGCAAGAATTATTTTTTTTAAAAGCCTCAACATCCTGCACAGTGCCCCCTAGTAGGTACTTAATGTTTGTTGAATTAAATTTGTGTAGTAGTTGGACTGGTGAGGTTCAAGCAAGTCTAAAAAAGTACTAGGAGCCTTATTTTTCCTTTTAAACAAACCTCTTATTTGCTCATAGTTTGGTTTATGTTGTAGAGACATAAGACAACATTTGGTATTGGTACTACTGTGTAGCAATTAAGGCTGCTATGGTGGTATTGCACCATTATGCTTCCTGTAATCAGAACCTTTTCCATTTATATTCCTCTCTCCCATTCTTTTTCTTTCTCTTTCACTAATTCTTTTCTAGTGTCCTTTTGAAATTATGAACTTGACAATCATCAGCAAACATCCCAGTATGCTAAGAAGGACCAGTAAAAAAAAAAAAGAGGATTATATATGATATATATATATATCATATATATCTTCGCTCATTCACTCATTCTCTCAATAACTTATTTAGCGTCCATATCCCTTGCCTTCTTTCATGCCCTGACCCTCAAGAAGAGGCTTGAATGTAGCTTATGCCTAACCTTTCAAAACACTGCCTTTAGTGACGCATGCTTATTAGGAACCCCTGTCAAGTGGCATGTTGTGCTATTTTTATGGGATCTGTAGGGGGCAGAGTTTCTCAGTTTGTAGAAGACTTCTCTGAGTCTTTTCAATTTAACTGAGTCAAGTTGGCTGATTCTTTCACCTGAGTGAAACTCCATTGAAAAAACAGAATAGGGAACAACTTCTAAAGTGTCCAGATCTTTAAAGATTGGGATGACATCTAAATTTTACAGGGTTCTGAGAGCTGAAAATTTGGACAAATTGGAAAATTGTGGTTTTCCATGTAGAGAGAAAAATACTCAAACTCATTCAAATAATTTTACAAACTTAATTCAACAAGCATTTGGGACTGAGCTTCGTGCTGGTGACTTAGAGAAAAAATTAAGCAGTCCCTGTTTACTCAGTGAGGTAGGATGCAACAAGTAACAAGATGAACCTTACCATATAACAAAGTTTACAAAGTTTAAAATAAGCACTTTTTAGAGATGAGCACTTTTAATCTTATTTGTTACATAGTTTTTCCATATCTACTAAATGTGTTCTGTTATTTAGTTTTAGGTAAGAATTGGGGCTAACTGAATAAAGACATCAAATTCTATATTAGCAACTAACAAGGGGGAAAAAAGAACTCATTCTTAATTTTCTTTGTTATTTCAGATCCAAACACTGCTATGACAGAGCTGAGCCATGAAACAACCAAATTTTCAGTTGAAGTGAGACTTTTGGAAGGGCCCATGAATTTGTACCCCACCCCTTTCCATTTTCCTCTCCTTGTTAGTTATGTCTCGCTCCCGTCATGGGCGATCTTCCAAATTAGTCAGAAAGGAAGATCTAAGCAAAAAGAAAACCAGCCAACTAAGTAAGGCATCCAAGATTATGACCAAAAAGGTGACGTTGGTAAAAGCTCTGAGTGCTGGGAAATTAAAACAGCTGATGCAAGAAAGAAATAATGTTAAGAAAAAGTCAAAACCAAAACCACCTGTGCCAGTAAGAAGTCTTCTGACAAGAGCCGGAGCTGCTCGAAGGAGACTGGATCAAACTGATGTCCTTTTCCAGAATCCAGAGTCCTTATCTTGCAATGGCTTTACAATGTCTCTTCGAAGCACCTCTCTAATTCAACGCCTGTCCCGACCTCCAGTGGTCATCACAAGACCTGAGAAAATTCCATCCTCTAAGACATTAGAACAGGAAGATAAAAGCCAATATGGGGTCCTAGCAGAGTCCAAAGAACATATAGTAGAAATTGAAAAAGAGACAGATCAGTCACAAGAAATCTTACTCTCTCCTGACAAAAAGGATCTGATAGTTGTTACCTCTAATGCATCCCCAAGCAAAGATAATGGACAAGAAAATATGCCATTTAATGAAGATGCCACTTGGTTTCAATGTGTGGAGGATCCCACAAAAAGTATTTCTACTCATAGCAGCCTACCAACTCAAATTTCTGAGGCCTCAGAAAAGAACTGTAAGTGTGAAGGCTTCTTCCTTGAAAAGTTATTAAATGATTCAAGTGACCCTGTTCGAGCTCTTGCCCAAGACTCTATGCCTATTCCTTTATTTAAAAACGCTGCCCACATAGTGACCTCTAAATCAAGTCTCAACATGCAGTTAGAAGATTTGGGCTCAAGAGCAGAATTTCTTAACCTAGCTGACTCTTATTTGGAGCCAATGAAGGAGAAACCTGATTTATATCAATCCTCCTGTTATAAAGGCAAATCTGAACTGGATCTACAAAATGAGCCTAGTGGGCCCGTTTTTCCTACCTCTTTAGCAAATTACCTCTTAGCAGGATCAGACCAGAAAGAGGCCATTCGTGGTTCTTTAGACCAACCTGTGACCCAAGGCACTGCTTCAGACCTGCTAGAGGGCCATGGTGCTATGCAAACTTTGACTTTGGACTCAGGTCAGATTGCTAGTTCATTACCAAACTTTGAGAAAGGTCTGGTTGCTGCCACAACAGATATAGTTGATCAAGAGATGCATAAACCATATGATACTTGCTTGCTTTCAGAATTGCCATCTAACAATCATAATTTTACAATAGTCCCTGAGAGTGACAAAGAATCAAATCCTTTATCACAAGACCCCAAATTGGCACCAAGTGATCCTGGCCAGTTGGATGGAGAGAGTCTCCAGATCAGTGCAACTAAGGTGATTTCTGTATCCATGGCATTTTCTAGCACCACCTCTTACTCTTGTCCTTTCTCCTACACTACTTTGCTCCCTACTTTAGAGAAGAAGAAAAGAAAGCGATGTGGAGTTTGTGAACCTTGCCAACAGAAGGCAAATTGTGGTGAATGTATTTACTGTAAAAAACAAAAATTTAGCCACCAAGTCTGTAAGATGAGAAAATGTGAGGAACTGAAAAAGAAGCCAATGGTCATAGTGCCTTTTGAGGTAAGAAAGTATTTTAGGGCTGGAGGATCCACCTGGGTAGTTGAGAAAGCCATCATTAATGCTTAGATGGCACAACAGGATCATTCATCCTTCCCCCCCCCCGCCCCTCCCTATTGAATTAAAGGTTGCTTTGAGGATAAGCCTTTGTGAACCAAACAGCGCACATTTTGTACACAGAGATCTACTTCTATAGTAAATCATAGGAAATAAGAATTTTGTTTTCCTCCAAAGAATTTCAGTTCAGTCCAATAAACATTTATTAAGCACCTCTAATGTGCCAGGCACATGTTAGGTGCTGGGGATATAAAGACAAAATGAGAAATGGTTTCCTGGAGTAGCTAGGTGGCACAGTGAGTAGAGCACTGAGTCTGGAGGACCTGAGTTCAAATCTAGCCTCAGACACTTACTAGTGGTGTGACCTGGGCAAGTCACTTAACCCTGATTGCCTCCTAAGAAAGAAACAGTCCCCACCCTCAAGAAGTTTACATTATATTTGGGAAGGAGCAACTTAAATAAGTAAATAGCAATGGGTGAAGCACTAATACTTGATGGAGTCAGGAATGGCCTGTTGTAGGAGGTAGCATTTGAGCTGAGTCTTGAAGAGAGGTAGGGGCTCGCATTCCTATAAGGTAGGACTTCTGTGCAAAGTCATGGACGTAGGAGATGGGTTGCTGTATGTAGGGTAAAGAAAGTAGGTCAGTCTGGTAGTGTCAATGGAGAGTATGAGGAAAAAAGCAAGAAAGTTGTATAAAATATAATATTTAAAAACTTTGTTTTTAGTAAATTCTACTTGTTTTTTAAATGATGTTTTATTTAAAAACTGATGATGAATTTACTTATAAGCATGTAACAAAGTGATGATTTTAATTTTTATCTTTAGGAAATGATACAGAGAAGAATGCTGTAGGGACTATTTTTTCCCTTAAACTAAAACATAGCTACGGGTGGGAAAGAGAAGGTTGTATCATAGCAGGAGGATGCCAGGAGCATATATGTCTATGTCATTTTTCTTAGAACTTTGCACTAGTAGCAGCATGTGCAATTATCATCTTGTCTTAAATCCCAGCAGGTTAACTGTGTGGATAATTTAATGTTTTTAACAAGTTTGGTTGTAACTCCCTTGGAACTCAAAATTCCTAACCAAAATATGGTGGGGGGTTGTGTATGTGTGTGTGTGTGTGTGTGTGTGTGTGTGTATGTGTGAAAAAATATAATGATGAGGGGCTTCTAGGTGGTACAGTAGATGGAGTGCAGGGCCTGGAGTCAGGAGCATCTCAGTTCAGATCAGACCTCAGACACTAGCTGTGTGACCCTGGGCAAGTCACTTAATCTCTGTTTGCCTCAGTTTCCTCATCTGTAAAATAAGCTGAAGGAAATAGCAAGCCACTGTAGTATCTTTGCCAAGAAGAGTTGAACACAACTGAAAAGACTGGACAACAACAAATAATGATGAGAGTCTTCAGATCATCTTCCATATTTAGATAACTTATTTGCAGTAGTTCCATTTTTATTTATGTAGAGCAATAGTATCAAGCTGAAATAGAAATGGAGGCTACTAAACAATACAAAATTCTTACAGGCAGCATATCAACTTAGAAAACCATACATTAACATTATCTATGTTCTATTGTATTTTAAATTTTTTGTTGTTGTTGTTTAAATATTTCCCAATTACATTTTTAATCTGGTTGGGCTGCAGTAGGGAGTATTTCTGGCAGTATGCCTGAAGACCCAATGTGTTAAACATCTCTGGTTAGAGTATAGGTGCATTCAATAACATTCCTAAAAAGTACTATGTGAATTGAAATTTTGTAAATCAGTGGTATTTTCTCCTTGATTTATATTATAATTTCAAATATGATCCTATAAGCATTTATTAAGCCTGTATAAGATACTCCTCTTAGGCACTGGGGCATTGGGGATATAAAAGCAAACTGAAAAAACAATCCCTATTCCTCTCAGAGAACTTACTTTCTATTGGGTCTGTAGTTTGGAGATGTGTGTGTGTGTGTGTGTGTGTGTGTGTGTGTACACACACAAAATGATTTATTCTTCAGTTGTTCCAATCATGTCTGACTGTCCATGATGCCCTTTGGGGTTTTCTTGGCAAAGATACTGGAGTGGATTGCCATTTCCTTCTCTAGCTCATTTTACAGATGAGGAACTGAAGCAAAAAAGGTTGAGTGACTTGCCCAGGGTCACACAGCTAGTGTTATGTGTCTGAGGCCGAATTTGAACTCAGGTCCTCCTGAATCCAGGGCTGGTGCTCTATCCACTGAGCCACCTAGCTGCCCCTTGAGGCTAGATTTGAACTCAGGAAAAGTCTTCCTGAGTTCAGGCCCACTCTATCCACTGTGCCACCTACCTGCATATATGTGATTTTTTTAAACATAAGTTTTATTGATACTTTTTGTTTATGTTGAAGTCATTTATGCCATAGCTCCCTTCAGTACCAAACTGTTCCCAAAGGAAAGAGGCGTATTTCATTATCTGTTCTGGTCCATGATTAGTCATTATAATTACTCACATTTGTACTTTCTTGTAGTGATCCTTTTCATTTGCACTATTATAGTCATTGTGTATATTGCTTGCCTGATTCTGCTAACTTCACTCTATGTCAGTTTATCTAAGTCTTCATTCTCCATGATAATTTGAAGCTGGAGAGAACACTAACCAGTAGGGGGCTCCCAAAAAGAATGCCATAGGAAGTGGTGAATGGGCTGATCCTGAAGGAAGCTAGGGCTCCTAACAGATGGAAGTGAAAAGGCAGTGAATTCTAGGAATTATGAGTAAAGTGCAAAGACATGGAGGTGGGGGAAGCTTTCAGAGTGTGTTTGGTTTTCAAATGGCAGTGGCTTCTGATAGTTTTTTTTCCCTGACTCTATAACGTCCTTTCCTTTGGCACTCTAGGTTATTTGTCAGATAATTAGAGATCTATAAACATACATACATGCTTTAGTGTAAAGAAGTCTTTTGCAATGATAATAACCACCTTCTAATTTATCTTCTCTTTAAAGTTCAAATCTTGTCATAGAGGATTTTCACTAATATCTGTGACATACACAATTTTATGTAACTGTATGCCAGTTACGGCATACAGCGTGGGATGACTGGGCATGGCAGCTGTAGTATGTGCCACTGATGAGAGCAGGAAATGAGGAGCTCTGCTCTGACCATTGGCTCTGAGAGTCTAGAGCTTGAAAGGAGGTCCCTGATTAGCTAGCCCATCCCCTTCATTTTATAGTTCATGCAGCTGGGACCCATGGAGGTTCAGTGACTTGTTCATGATCAGTTATAGTAGCAGAGCTTGTATTTGAGCTCTCAGACTCCAACTTCATTGCTGCTTCTGTTATAGTACCCTGACTCCCTGCAACTCTCCTCCCATCCCCTTCCCCCAAAGTTATCTCCTTTCTCTTCAGAGCAGAGCCTGCTTTGGAAAATACCCCTTATCCTATCCCTGCCAAGACTAGTTCATCTCACCCTTAACTTTATTCTTCCCATCCACACCACAGACCCCATTCCCTGGATCCCTACTTTCCATATGATATTGCTACAAGAGTGGTTGATGTGGTTAGAATCAATGAATCCCTTCATTTAACAAGTGAGCATCCATGATTTGCAAAGCATCCTCTATGAGTTGTGGAGAATACAACAGAAAATAAAATGTGGCCATTGGCTTCATGGGATACTTAAACTCCTTCCTACTTTGAGAATTTTGGCAAATACAGTTGTTTTATATTTACTTGATTTGCATTGGAGCCTTGCATCTGTTCAACAAACTGGTCAGATACCCAGTATGTGAAGATGCACTTAGGTGATTATTTAAGAATTAGCCTCTTTGCTCACTGAGTATGCTAGTCTAGTGCAGGAGTGAGGAGGGGAATAGCTGTGCCCAAGTACGCAGAATATAAAGATAATTATAATATAAAATAAATTATTAGAAGTATATATAAATGAGCCAGAGTATGAGGAGTGATTCAAATGGTGTGGGGAGAGGAAAGGAGAGAATGAGAGGGAGAGAATGAAAATATGTCATTTGTTGCTGTGACTGGTAATCAGGAAAACCTTCATGGAGAAGGTAGGTGGAATTGGGAGTGGATCCTGACAAATGAGCAAGACTTGAAAACGCAGGAATAGAGGCAGCGGTATTCCTGTCATAGACATGGCATCAGCTGCAGGGAATGGCAAGTATTCAGCTGGCAGAACTCTTTTTTTTTTTTTTAAACTAGTCCACATTTTTTTTTTCCTTAGGCAGTTGGGGTTAAGTGACTTGCCCAGGGTCACACAGCTAGTAAGTGTCAAGTGTTTGGTCTGAGGCTGGATTTGAACTCAGGTCCTCCTGACTTCAGGGCCGGTGCTCTATCCACTGTGCCACCTAGCTGCCCCTTGGCAGAGCTCTTTACTGCATAGGTGGGGTAGTGTGGAATAAGGCCAGAGGGATGACCTTGAATACTAGGCCAAGTTGAGTCTTCATTGGGTAGGAAGTAGGAGCTACTGAAAGTTCTTGAGCATCAGTGTTGGGATCAGAGGCCTGTGTTCAGAGGACTTTTCCAACAGCAGCATGCCGATATACACACATATATTCACATAGTTACATCTTATATAGAACCATGTGTGTATATACACCTACATATAGAAAAACTGGAGGCAGAGACCAGTTAATTATGAAGATTAGAGGTTTGTTTCATAGTTCTTACCCTTGGAGAAAGGAAAAAGTCACAGGATATCAGGTCTGTAGCATATAGCTAATTCTGGAAGCAACTTGTTCATCATTTGCCTCTCTCTAATGTTATCACTGCCCAAGTGATAGAACTTTGGTTCTTCTCTCCACCCCTGACACACACATAACCATTGACACTCTCAAAGAGTTCTCCCCAAGGAAACTCTAACCTGAGATATAGCACCTGTTAAGACATAGACACTTACATATGAGAAGGGAACTTTTAAAATGTCACTGATACTATTGTTCATATCATTGTGTTGAGTCTAAGATCACTCAC